TGCAGCAGCCTGTGAGATCCTGCACACTGTAACCAGCAGACTCCAAGCACAGCATCCTCAGGCCCTTTTCCTGATCTCTGGGGACTTTAATCACATCTCCCCATTCTCCACTCTCCCCGCCTTCACCCAGTATGTCACCTACCACACCAGAGACAATAAAACATTGGACTTATTGTATGCTAACACCAAGGAGACATACAGCTCATCACCTCTCCCTCCCCTGGGGGGCTCAGATCACAACCTGGTTCATCTCCAGCCTGTGTATAAACCTTTAGTACACAGAGAACCAGTTGTGAAATGCACAGTTAGGAAATGGTTGGCAGAGACTGAAGAGGCCCTGAGGGACTGTTTCCATTCTACTGTATGGGACAACCTCTGCAGCCCTTTGGAGGATGACCTCAACAGCATCACAGACCGCATTACGGATTACATGAACTTCTGTGTGGACAACACCATACCCATCATAAAGGTACGGTGTTTTTCTAACAACAAGCCATGGATAAATCCTGAAATAAAGGCTCTCCTCAAGGAGAAGAAGAGTCTTCTCCGGTACCCATACCAAAGACCTCCCATCCCAAGGACCTCAGCAGCTACAGGCCGGTAGCCCTAACATCACATCTGATGAAGACCCTCGAGAGGTTGGTTCTAAACCATCTGCGCCCCCTGGTGAGGTCTTCATCTGCTGCAGTTTGCTTACCAGCCTGGCATCGGGGTGGAGGACACCATCATCTACCTCCTGCACCGAGCTCTGACTCACCTGGAGAAGCCTGAAAGCACTGTGAGGATCATGTTCTTTGATTTCTCTAGTGCTTTCAACACCATCCAGCCACGACTTCTGAGAGACAAGCTGGAGCTATTGGGAGTGGACCACCACTCTGGACTACCTCACAGAACGCCCACAGTATGTGATGTCACAGGGCTGTGTCTCTGATACGCTGGTCTGCAGTACGGGGGCCCCACAGAGAACTGTGCTGGCACCGTTCCTCTTCACCCTCTACACTGCAGACTTCTCCATCAACTCCCCACGCTACCACCTACAGAAGTTCTCTGACGACTCTACCATAGTCGGCCTCATCACAGGTGAGGATGACTCAGAGTACAGACAGTGGACTGGACTTTGTGGACTGGTGCCAGCAGAACCACCTGCTGATCAATGCCAGGAAAACCAAGGAGTTGGTGGTGGATTTCCGGAGATGCAGACCCACCACACTGACACCGGTGAACATCCGGGGAGTGGACATTGAGATAGTGGACTCGTATAGGTACCTGGGTGTTCACCTGAATAATAAGCTAGACTGGAGCCACGACACTGATACTCTTTACAGGAAGGGTCAGAGCAGACTCTACCTGCTGAGGCGGCTGAGGTCATTTGGAGTCCAGGGAGCGCTTTTAAAGACCTTCTATGACTCTGTGGTGGCATCTGTCATTTTTTACAGTGTTGTATGTTGGAGCAGTAGTTTATTGGCAGCTGAGAAGAAGAGGTTGGATAAACTCATTAGGAAGGCCAGCTCTGTTCTGGGATGCACCCTGGACCCAGTGCAGGTGGTGGGAGACAGAAGGACTCTGGCCAAAATAACATCTCTGATGGACAGAGTCTCCCACCCAATGCATGTAAATGTTACTGAACTGCAGAGCTGCTTCAGTGACAGACTGCTGCATCCTCGATGCATGAAGGAGCGTTTCTGCAGGTCCTTCCTCCCTGCAGCTGTCAGACTGTACAATCAGAACTGCTCCCAACAAACATAGATGTTTACATCAGCGCTGTAACTTGGCACTATTTTATCAACCGATTCACACTATAACCACGGTTTGCCTCTGATCTGTATTAAATTTTATTTAATTTAATAAAGGTACAGTACTCTGTTTTTGGTAACCATTGTCATTGATGTAAATATGTAAAAATTGTGTATGTTTCTGTTCTGTGTCTTGTGTACTGTTTGTTTGTATATGTGTCTTTCTTGCTGCTGTTACACCCAAATTTCCCCTTGTGGGACAATTAAAGGATTATTCTATTCTATTCTACCAGTACTCTAGTGTTTATATGTGAAATACAGTGCATGGATAAAGATATTTGATGGTTAGCACAGGTTAGCATAAGTTCTCAAAACAGGGGAAAACTTTCTAGCCTTGCTTTATCTAAATACATCAAAATTAGCCAAAGCTAGTAAATTCATCTCACGCTGACAACAGGAAATTAGGAAGTTAGTGCTCCCACACCACACACTCCCTACAGCAAGTAGCTCCATTTGTTTGAGTTGGCAGAATTTTTATGCAGATGCAGACCCAAAAGGAAGTTGTGTCTCTTCCCTTTGGGTCTGCATCAAACCAGGGATCTTTCACTTATAATCCACTACACCATAAAGCCTCTTCCATGTTACTCTGCAATCTGAAAATAGCAATATTCCACTTTCAATATATACAGTGTTTCTTTAAAACACTGTTTAGAAACTTAATCTAACTAAACAGACTGTGAAGAATTAAAAAAATAGGACATTACAGTATGTTGAAGTTGTCAAATATGTAAGTTAGTATATTGTACTGTCTGCTTAAGTTAGCATGCTAATTAGCTAGCACCAGGTGACGGAATAGCAATGTTGTCCGGAGAGGATTTTTTTTTTTTTACAGTCTGTGATTCTTTACTCTTTTTAATCATGCTGAATGAAAGACAGTCAATGAAAAAAACATAAACTCAATGATGTCTGATGTCTTAGCAGTTTGGTTTCTTCCTGCATTTATACTTCCTCACACATGCTTTAGATGCCCCCTCCCAGAGTCACTGACAATAGGCAATACCAAGGACTGGCCCACACAGCATATAAGTGAGGTCATATCATTAATCCAGCAACCCCTTCCACTTATGAATTGCATCTTTAAATCGAGGAGATGTAAAATGTTAGTTTGTGAAGTTTATAGATGCCAGTGGGCACGTGTTCTACATCTGGAAAAAGCCAGGCTGACTCAGGTACTAAACTACTGACTGAATAATCTAAAGCTCGTATGACATAGTTCTAGATCAGGTAAGAACACTGGGACACTCTTCATAACAGCAATTTTATACCAATTTGACATTTAAAAAACGGACAATCAGTGCCTGTGGTGATGAGAAAACGCTACTCTTTCATTGACCTTGGGTGGATACATTAACTCTGTACATGCCCTCCATTGTTTCTTTCACTATGTTTGCCATAACCATGCATGACTAGACAAACCAGAAATACAAAATTCAATGCAGTGTGTCATTTAACCCCAGCACGTTTCATAATAAAATCAAACACAGACATCTAAGTCAAAAGACAAGGCGATTTTTGCTCCAAAGGAAAAGCACATAACATTTTGAGCTTTTAGTTTGTAGTTTATTCATGGGTGGAAAGGCACCTGTATGTTCTTACTAATCCATATTTACACACCTGCTTCTTCTAAGGCTACTTATTATGTTGCTGAAGACAATCAAATCAGTAATTTGTTCTCATAAAAGTGGACCATGTCACTAAAAAGGTCAGACAGTTAACTGTACTGAAAGACCAAAACAAATGTCTCAGTTTAATAGCTACACATCCATTGTGATTTCCTCTGCAATCTAGTGATGACAGGCATGTCATTTCCACTCTTTCTTCTCAGAGTCCCCTTCTGTCATTACACTGCCCCCTGACACTATTAATCTGTTCCCTTGGCAACTGCACTGCACAACCACCGCTACACATGCATGTCAAGCATTGAATAACCCTAATAATCACCAAGCAATAACTAAAACCTGTAGTTGCATAATGTATTTAATATTATTAATCAAAAACACTGAAAGCTAGCTAATTAGAAATGTTTTGATCATTAAAAATTACCCTAGTGAGCCTTTAGTTGTTTATTAGATTTTTTTGCTATGTGTGGTTCTTCATAGGTCTTCATAGTGAAAATGTGTTTTACTGTTTTGAGGTGAGGAATTTCCTCCAGCCAAGACTGCAGCAGAGGCACAGTGGCCTACATACCAGAGGTCTGTTGAACTGCCCTGTTGAATTACCCTAGAAATAGACCCAGTATAACCTATTTGATTATGGAAATAAAAGACACATGTTTATGTTATAGCTTACTAAATGAAAATATATAGAGAAATCTCTACATGTCTGCAGCAGTTTTATGTCCTTGGACAAAAAGGCTACAACACGTCCACACATGCACATGTCCAAATCAGCACCACTGAAAGCTAGAAACACTGAAACTATCACATGGAGCAGCAGAGAATGAGGAAACAATGCTCTCTGGTGTAGTCTAGCTTTTGCATTGTCACCTTTGGCTTTGTAAATTATGCAAGACAGCCATTGGCTGATTTTTAAATTATTCAGCAGGGGAGTGGATCACAAGATATAAAGTCCTAGCAGAAGACACAGGACCAGACTAGACCTGACCACACACACACACAACCTTGGAAAACACACAGGCAGACATACAAGAAAAAGAGCCAATCAAACTATCCAGAGCAGTGCCACTGCTTTGGGTTGACTCAGTGTTTGTGGTAATGATGATTTGTGGAGGTGGCTCCTGCTGTCATCTGTAGATGTGTCAATGAAGCTGTGAGGTTTGTAATTTAATTCAGCTGTGACTTTATTGGTCTTAAATGGCTCCACTCTAACCCAGTTAGTGCACAGGCTCCTGTACGCTGCACCACCTCGGTTACAGTCGGTTTCAGCATGGAGTAAAAGAAAGTGGCCTTGAAACAGCAGGGGAAGGGAAACTTAAATGGGTCTGTCAATCTACCTTAAAATCATACATGTTTCTCCTTCCCAATCTCTACTTCTTTCTCCCTGGGTGTCCACCATCTTCGCTGGACACAAAGGGTCAACAGAGGGGGTCATCACCATGGCTACTATATCCTGCAGCACACCCATTTAAGTAAACGGAACGAACAAGCCCATAATGCTGGCATGGTCTGCGTGTGTGGCTGTGTAATATGTAAGGCCTAGGACCTATAAAGCTACAGTCAGTGCAGTGAGGATGAGGGCCACACTTACATTCCAGGTGCTTTTTCTTGGGCGCCATCACTTCGTGAGTGGTGGCTTTGCAGACAGCCCGGGCCATATCCGATCCCGTTAGCTGGTACTGCGCAGCGGCAATGCGATCCGTGAGCGTTTGCCCCGACATTTTCTCCTAGTTGTTTCGACCTCCTCAGGAATTTATTTCACCACAGGACGGTGAGGGGGAGGGGGGAAAAATACGAATACAACCCAGCTTCTTCCCTGCGGTTCACTGAGATGAGTGCGTCCCTCTCCCAGATAATATAGGCCTGCGACCTTATGTGTGGGAGGGGGTGGGGGGAAAGCAGAGAAAATGAGCTGGATAAATGTTATTTTCGCAGTAAATCGTGTGGTCACGTTGTTAATATTCGCCGTTGCATGAGTAGACTTACGCAAGGTTGTGAATTCCCGGCGGCTCGTTCTGTTATAGGCTCCGAGCGTTCAGTTCAGCACCTTGGAGAGCTAAAGCCACTCGGTTATGTAACAAGCTGGCGACGAAAGCTATTTTCTCAACCCGGTGAAATTTATTCCAGCAATGGAATAGACTCGTCTAATCGTAGAACAGTGTTTCTGAAAAATAAGGTATATAAATCAGCGCTGCATAAGTCGGTCAAATGTCCCTGTTGGGGGGAACGCCGGTTTTGGCTCCCTTTCCCTCCTTCGTTGTTGCATTAAAAAAAAAAGCTTTTGAATAAACGAAGAACCCGCAGTGCAAAGCAGGTCGTCAGATTGCGGCTTTTCTTTCCTCTTTGATCCGTCAGTCTCGGCTCGGAAATGCCGTTTCAGGCTGTGGTCCTTTCCTCAGATAGAAAATTGCGCACCGCTTCCCGTCGCCAACACTGCGCAGCGCAAGAGGCTCGGGAACAGGAAAAGCGAGGAGGGAATTTCCTTTTCCCCTTCCCCCTGTGGTTTGTTTATTTATTTGACCTGTCTACAAGTCCATCCAGACTCTCCTCTCGGCAGCTTCTCGGACAGCGTTGGGTGACACACGTCGCATCACCACGTCTCTTAAAGGGGTGTGGGCATGGGGGGGTCACAGTACAGAAATCGCTATCAATTTGCGCCAAAGGGTTAATACACCAGCGTCATGGTGGCATACTAGCTGCTGCATGTGGGCTGTATCCCACCGGGGCTGCTCGTAGATCACGCGGAGTGACAGATGATGAAGGTGAAACAATTCCTGCTCTAAGCAGGCTCCTTTTAAATATGTGATCGGCAGAGGTATTTTTAATCACACGTTAAACCACAAAAAACTACTGATCACAATATTTTTTTGTTTTGTATTTGGGAACATCACGTATTTTGTATTCAGAGCAGATGATATTGGGGATGTATGCCATATGGTGAGTTAGCGTATTTGCTTGTAGCTCAACTCTGCCAGAGAGCTCGATAATCACGATGCATTCTGGGTAGACCCGGCCATGTTGTTGTTCACGTAAAACCAAAGTTAGTCATTTATGCTGCTATTATGAGCCCTTGGCTTATCTGATATTGTGAATCTTGTTTATGTTCTTGTTATTTAGGCTAGGTTTTTTAATTTAATTATTAACAAGATAATTATTTTTAAAAAAAGATGGACACCAGCCTGTAGCCAGATTTGGGCTTATCCAGGTTAACTTCAAGGTTGACCCTGGATTCACTTCTTGCCAGGCTAAATTGCCATGGTGACTTACGCTGCCGAACTAGTGATCAGTAGGTGTGAAACTACACACATACATATATTTAAATATAATATGAGTAAAAGGTTTGGACACACCTAATTATTTAATGTTTTTTCTATATTTTGATGACTATTACAGTGTAGATTTTCACTTAAAGCATATGGAATTATGCAGAAACAAAAAAGTGTGAAATAACTCAAAACATGTTTTAGATCTTCAAAATAACCACTCTTTGCTTTGATTACTGCTTTGCACACTCTTGGCATTCTCTTAATGAGCTTCATGGGGTCGTCACCTGGAATGGTTTTATATAGTTGTGAGTAGACATATACACACTTATTCAAACTATACATTTTAACGCATGTCATAAATTATGTTTATATATATCGTTTATATTCATATTTATGTCAGTATTTTTAGCTTATCTAAGTTTTATTGCACTGTGTGAAGAAGTATTGCCTTCATTTTGTTATGCTTGCATAATGACAATAAAGTCTAGACTCTTGAAACTTTTAACTCACACAGTTGACATTTTTTTCCTGCTTTCATATAGGCTAAACTTTATTAGTTCAGCAACTCTTTCCCCTTTCTTACAGGCCAAACCATTTCAAGTACACAGACATTCATAAAATGCTTTCAAAACCACACAGATGTACAGTGCTTACCCACCCATAATGCTGATTTAAATGTAGAAGCTGGGTTACTAGCATTCTTTACTATAAGATCAACACAGAATGCAACATTTTCTCAACAAAACATTTGTGGGACTCAGTCAGGCAACCAGTGAGGCTTGGCTCTGTGATTCATGCAGAAAAACATTTTTTGGATCTTTGGCCCTGCAAAGACACTTTGCATAGTTTCTTTTTACTTGGTATTTTTAATGCTGCAGGTTTACATATTTCTTTTCTTTTCCAGTTTATAATTTTACATCTTATAGCACCACATACATCTTTATTAGGCAAAAGGTTTTACTTGGAATTTTAATATTGCAGTGTCATAATGCCCTTACGTTTCTACACTATAGTTACACTAAACTGTACAGTGAATCTTTCAGAATTAGAGTAATTCATACGTTAAATTGTTTTTCATGTATTTTATTATGGTACAGTGTTTCATTACAGCACTTCATGTTTTGGTGCAGCAGCAAGTGGAAGGGCTTGTGGTGATGCCAGTCAGAGGGAGTCGCAGAGACTTCTGTGTGTCTGAGGTGTAAAATCCTACCCAGATTTCATTGTCGCATTTCAAAAGCTGGCTTTCCGGAAACAAAGGAATAAAGATTTTTCTTTCGCAGCTGTCCTGCAGCCTGTATCCATGAAAGAGATGTCTGATATGAAGTGTACGGGAGGTGCCCAGTCAGGGCACTATAATGCATGACGTCGGCGACGTCACGATCCAGTGCTCTGCAGAGCTCTAAATAGAACCCTCAGTTGTATCACTTCTGTATTTTAATTTTGTTTTACTTCTGTGTTGTTTTACTTTTGTTTTTGTTGTCTTTCTCATTGTGAAAATGAGCTGGGAAAAAAAATACAATAATTAGGAAAATAAAATGTACCGACAGTAAAGTATAAAAAAGAAACAAACAAAAAAAACGCTCGACTCTGGCTGAGCATGCGCTGTGTATTCGCAACACGTGACGTACGCGGAAATGAAGCCACGTCTCCCGTGAGAAGGGAGAAGGAGGAACCTAGATCCAGGAAGCTTTTCACTGACTGCACTGTAGTGGAGATACTTCAGAAAACACAACAGTAAGTAAATTAAAATTAAGCGAATCTGCTGCACAGCGCAACCTTTGGTTTAAACACAACGCGTTTATTGTAGTCTCTTTGTTTATGTGGCTTGAGACGATTTTATGTAACTTATTTTACTTGGGAGAAGCACGTAACTTTCTTTGCCATTCATTTGTTGTGCTTCATTTTATTGAGCTTTATACTTTGCCCTCATTAAGTGCTGTCAGTGTTTAGTCCAGTCGCCGTGTTTTTAATCTATTAAATATGGTTAAATATGATAAACAGCATTTTAATAAAGTAAGCATTTCCAGACAAGGGCTTGGGCATGTGACCTCAAATCAAAATCACGACTAATTAAAACATTTTACCCAAATTACGATTAGCGAACCATTATTTATAGTAATAACCTTCATGGTTTGCTAGGCTTGTTTTGCAAATATGTTCAAACAGTAAAGCTGGGACACACACACACACACATAACATATACAGGTGGTATTACCTTTGCTAGAGCCAAAATTGTATTTATTTATTTATCCTTTTACTAAACTGCCTTCAAGTAAACAAACAGGCATTGCTGTCAAACATGTTCATCAAATATTCCAGCCAGCAAAGAAAAACAGAATATAAACAAATAAATGAAGTACCTTAAATTAACTCATTCCAAGTATTTCTGTTTTAAAGCATTCCTCTTTTCCAATCATTTTATACACTGAAGATAAATTGCATAATTTTTAAATGCAGAAAAACTTGGAATAAACAAAACTACACTTATAAATATAAAACTTTCCAATAATCAAAAGGCTTACACACCGAAATTCCACCTTGGCTCTTTATAGAAACCCGAAACTTAATCATATCATATTCTAACACAGGAAATGCTTTTTTTTTTCTACGACAACCATTAATGAACAGTGTCTATGTAACTTAATTAACAGCGTGATAATCAGAAAACTTGAAACTTAACTAACTTTTAATTACATCAACATTAATGTTATTCCTCCAGCTTTTTGTAAAAGATATGCCAGGATACTAAACCATAATGTTAATTTTTTACAAATGCTCCAACCATTTTAACATAGTACTTAGCACATGAGTTACTTCAAGCTCGATGACATTCATACCTCTCGTTTCTACCGATTTTACAACATTGCTTTTCTGAATAAGATGTTCTTTATTACTCCAATGAATTTGGTTTTATAGTTCTGTTTAATACAGCTAAAGTGTATGCTGGATTTACTAATCTGGCAGTGCAAACTTCTGTAAAAGGAATTCTTTTTTTCTTCACAAAAAATGTGAAGAACCTTTTTAGCAAAGGTTCCCTGAAAAATGTAATTCTCTGAAACCTTCAGAGAGGCTTCAGGAACCTCCAGGGAACACTACCTGAGGAGTTACCCAGAAATTATTTTGTGAAAACTATTGTTTAGAGGGAGCACACCCTGAAGATTCCCTCTAGGACTTTATGAAAAAGAGTCTTGAGAGAAGATGCGTAGAGTGTTTCCTACAAATTTAGTGTTTGCAATTTTCTTTTTTTTAGGAATGTTCTCTGAGGGTTTGTTTTGTAAAACCTTCATTTAACCATCATAAAACTTTCATTCAAAATTAATTTGTGAAACTTTAAAGACAAACTTCAAAGGGAACGTTCTTTAATAACAAAGACTTGTACAAAATTCTCCAAAGAACATTTTTCGAGAATTCCTTATTTAAAAACAATATCAGGGAACTTTTAGGGAACTTCAGAACTCCTCTAAATAGTCCATTGTTTGTTAAAGAGTTTATTTTAAAAATTATCTGTTAATAAACAGATAATCATTTTTTTTGATAAGTGTTATGGTATGCATCGGTAGCTTGAATCCCCTGCTTTTATTGCATAATAATAACTGTACATGTTATAATTCAAGTAAGGTTAACATGGCGGGGCTTTTAAGGAAGATCTTAACACTTTCTCTGCCACTGATGCTTTTCTGATATGTTTCAGCAATGGCCGAATTTCAAGAAATATCAAAGCTGTCCGCTTTGCACCCGAAGCCCGCAGGGCTTGTTTTGCAGTATGGTACTTCTGGCTTCAGGACCAACGCCAAACAGCTGGACCACATCATGTTCAGGATGGGTCTGTTGGCCACAGTGCGCTCCAAAAAGACCAAAGCAACCATCGGTGTCATGGTCACTGCATCGCACAACCCAGAGGTTAGAGGGATTCATAAGCGCAAATAGCTATGGTTTATTTTCATCATAAATTACAACTTCAGCCCATTCCTGTTTGTCTCATCATGTCTGTACTTGTGTAGGAAGACAACGGTGTGAAGCTCGTTGACCCGATGGGCGAGATGGTGACACAGGACTGGGAGGAGCATGCCACCCAGCTGGCCAATGCAGATCAGGAAGACTTGCTCACTGCTCTGAAGAACATTATAGAAAAGGAGGCCATTAACATGAGCCAGGAGGCTAATGTGTTTGTGGGAAAAGATACTAGGTATAATGTCTTACTACAAACAAATAAATCAAAAACTGATCAAATATAAACCTGTGTGTATGAGTAGAATAGCTTCTTTACAGTCGTGTCCTCTGCCTGTAGGAGCAGCAGTGCCAGCCTTTCACAAGCAGTACTGGATGGAGTTTCTGCTCTTGGTGGTCACAGCAAAGGTAAGAGAAGTGGATACCTAAAAGATATTCCTGTGATTGGCTGCCCCTCAGCTGGGTTGCATTAAAATATATGCTTTGCAATGTATTAGTTTCCTT